TTAAGCACATTTTAAAAGACTTACATCATTACATGAAACAAAAAAGCATGCAACCCTGAATATTGATATAGCATAGCAAGTCAGTGAGTATATTTCTTGCGAAAATGAAAATGGAATCATCAATTTCACAATAATTACTAATCCGAACGTTTTTTATCATTGAATACGTATAATAGGCGAGATATCCATGAGACGGTTAACAGTTTCCACGCAGGCTACCCTTCCAGTAATAACAACCTACATGGTGGAAAAATAAAAAGAAAAAGGAAAAGAATTGAGCGTCTGAATTGTATTCAATATGAATTATACTCTAAAGCTAAATAATGCATATTTATCTTAATAACGTCGACAGCTACTAGTGCAATTGCAATAAACTTGTCACATGAGACTAATGGGCTGATATTCACCTCTCTTGTTTGGTATATTCTCATCGTCTGTACTGGCGGCGTCGCGTGCCTTTAGATATTCTTCAAATTCCTCTAATAAATCCACCTATAATAAAAACAATATAATTTGTCACCAAATATATTAACTATTCGAACGCTACATTTTACACATCTGGCTTGTTCCTATACTATATCATACGTGGGTCGAGTGGCCAAATTGTCTCATATTCAATATGCAAAAAGTGTTATTTATTTTTGATAATAACTACGCATGTTATCGCTCCGGCCATGACGTATCGTACAACGTTTTTGGCTTTATATCTGTACATCTGTTATGTTTGCTATGTTTTAGCTGGTATTCCAAGGTCGACTGAAAACAAGTTACCCAACGAAATTCATGATAGTTTGCTGAAGCTGAAATTGAACAGAAAAACTGTGCATCACGTTTAGATGTTTTAACTTTGTATCCGCTTCCACCCAGACTTTTCGTAAAGTATATTCAAACCGCATATCGACGAGTGGAGTGTTATTTTGTTTTAGACTAATTCAACAATTTTCCAAAAAGTAACAAAAGTAATTTATTGAACGTCATAAGCAGGGCTGTTCTCAAAGTTTCGCTAACTTCGACCAAGAGCGCGCATGCGTATGTGTCGTCAAGGGTAACCTTTAATGCATGATATCAGCCTCATATTTTAAAACAAATAACGCAATCATTATTTGTCTAATAACACATCGCACATCGTGGAACAATATATGATGGTGAGATAATCATATTGCGCTGTTTTACTTGAGGTCCTGGTACTAAATTCAATTGTAAACACGACCCGATATCACGCGAGATTGAGGTTAAAATATGTATGTTTATTACATCTCACTGCTGTGATTGGTTGAGACTTGGTCTCATGAGATATTACATGGTATATTGCCTGCCAAGTGGATATTACGTGGGTATATCACATGGATGACGTCACTGAAACTACTGCGTAACGATAAAGCGCCGCACTGGTGCTGCCCGGCCACTGTTGCTCTCGGGGTTGCTTTTAAGGTTTTAAAGAACTTTAGCCATCCGAAATAAACAGCGAACGTGTCAGAGCGGATATTAAGTAAGATACTGTGTTTTGACGTTCGGGGTATTTTTTATATGAAGCAAACATGTACGGCAAAACCACCACTGAATCGTTGCAGCCGTGATCGCTACGGTGCGTTCTACGCTGTGAGCATTTGAATGTTCTGTCATGAATTTGTTTTCGCGTATCTGTTAACCGACTTAATTAGCTGATTACGAGCGAATTGCTGTGTTATGTCTGTCATCGTTTAGGCCTACTTGAAGTTTTGGACGGAACATGGCTCAGTGATTTGGAACTAATTACGAGATAACCGTCGCTATTCTGACTACGATTTATGACAGTTGGTATCCGTAGTTATTAATGTAGTGAACGATTAATCAAAAGATATGACGTATTCAGTACTTAGTGTGATTGGCTTTATGATTGAAGGTTACGCCTTAGAGTCTTTTTACTGCTTTGTAAATGGTTAGAGTTTTGAAAATGAATAAAGAGAGTTTTAGTTGGTCTTGGCGAGTAGACCAGAACAGAGTCCAGTCCTGGAGAGACTTGGGGCGAGTGTTGACGCAGTCTTAAGAGAGTCTTTGGGTCTTGCCTTGCGATAGTCTTGGGGATTTTTCCCAATGTGTGTTAAAGAGTGCTCGACTGATCGACTAAGACGAGAGTTGAAACGTATTTCGTTGTGTGTGTCTTATTTGACTGTAAAGCTTAAGTGAATTTCCAGATCCCGTACCTCAAGGGGACGAGATATAGAGACGACACGAGTTTCCCCCCGAGTAGAAGAATATCCCCCTGACAGTTCCACGCCGATGCCAACCGAGACTCATTTTTATCTGGCAAGTGGTCAAATAACTTGCGTTTCAGGATTTCTCAATTCATTTCAAAAATGTTATACTGGATAAATTGTGTGATGCACACTGCTGCAACACGGTTACTAAAAAGAGTATCCATGGCTGAAAACAACATTTACTGTGTGTATTTCGCAGTTTTTTTTTAAAAAAACAATGTATGTATTCTATCGAGTAATATGAAACTTTATAATACATAAAATAAAATATTGTATACTTCAAATATAAGTGTTTTTTGGGAGAGCTGGTGTTAGTAATGTATGGTAGATGTGAGTATGCATGGTGGATGACTGTTCGATGTAAAAAATAACTAATACATGGTCATTTGGGCAATATCACTATTTGTTCGAGCTGATGGTCTTCGGCCCTGGCATCATCAATATTATGGCCATTACCATCATCCCTTCGGCAGGCAACAAATCGTGATATTACCCTCACAATCGTGTTATTATATAAATATATGAATCTGTACGCTCTAGACTGGCACAACGTTCTAATTCTGGAGCATACACACTTCCATCTAAATCTCCGAGGAGGCCAGTTATAAAAGCAAGCATTATTATTAAATCGATTGCTACAACGTCTCAGAACTTAAATTTGGTAATTCCAACCAATTTATTTAATGGCAGAACACGCCGGGTGTACTTGGGAACATTATATTTTAAGTACGTGTGTTTTATGGAGCATTGACTATCAGATTATAATGTATAAGCACATTAAAGTTGCGCCACCACTGGCGTACCATATAAAGTGAAGTATAGAACTATTTCCCACGCGATACATGTAATATTGTCAATATACGAAATATTGTTGTTGTCTATCTTGATGATGATGTTAGCAATATATTAATGGGATAATAGTCTAAAACCCTCGAGTTACTGAACAAATGTGAGACTAGAAGTTAGATATTATGTTTATAAAAAATAATATTATTTGTGTAGAATTCTGTGAGAACCTATAGGCGGTCTTCACATGTGAAGAAAAATGCGCTTACTGTTTTCAAATCGAAACACCTATCCCCAGTACTTGTTTGGTTTAGCAACGTGGTTATATATTTTAATGAGTTGACCATGTTTTGCAACGTTACAATATTGTATAATTATGTTCTTCTAGACCATACGTTTTAACCATTCAACTGTCATTATTAATTCCACAATGCATGCAATTAAATATTAAAACGGAGACTGCAAACAAGCTATTCTCTATCCGACCGACCAATTTGTTTCTACGAGCAATTTGCTTACCTTCGAGACTTCTCCGTCAGCGTAACATACACCAACCATGAACAACGCACACAGTGCTAAGATAATAACGTACTTCATCGTAAAATTGCTGCACAACTTTGGTTGAACTTCTATAAAATGTCTTTCTGGTTATCGATGTATAAATGTGGAAAGCTGGGAAGAGTTTATTTTATAGATTCTTGAGTTGGTGAATGAATCGGTGTTTTCTTTTGTAATTAATGTGTAATTCAAAAGGTGCAAATAAAGCACTTCCGAAA